AAAAATAATAAAAAATAATAATAATAATAGTAATACTAATAATAGTGGTAATAATAATAATAATAATAATAATAATAATAATAATAATAGGGGGTAATAATAATAATAATAATAATAATAATAATAATAATAATAATAATAATAATAATAATAATAATAATAATAATAATAATAATAATAATAATAATAATAATAATAATAATAATAATAATAAAAAAAAAAAAAAAAAAAAAAAAAAAAATTCAACGAAAATGATAAGTAGTGTAGCTATATCATATAATTGAGATTCAGTAAGGTGGTGTTTGCAAATGCTTTTTGAACGTGATTATGAGTTTTTTTTTGCTCATAATCAGTTTTCAGGTGTTTGCAAAATCAACTTTTGCTTTTGCTTCTCTTAAAATAATATGCTTTAAGCTAATTTTTTAAAAGCACCCATAAATCTGTTTTTTCAATTGAAGTTCATTTTCTGAAATATTTACAAATACCCCCAACTTTTAAAAATAAGCACTTAAAACTAACTTAAATCACAATGACTAACTTTTAATTTTAAATAATCATTTGCAAACGTGAACTAAATTAATCACTTTATAAAGTTTGTATGGGACAGTCCAAGTATCATATAATTATGTATATTTAAAGCAACAAAATCATTAACCACTTTGACCAGTACAAATAGACAAATGTGATAACATCATGGATGATGGAATAAACAAGTGTGGGAAAACAAGTCTAAATAACACCATTGCAAGTGTGCTATTTCAAGTCAATTAATATGAAATTATTGGAGAGTTTCCTTCCAACGCGTGCTTTGACTACTCATACACAGCCAAAAACAATGCCAATTATTGTGTCAAAATATTGAAAACTTGACTGCTGTCATTACACATCAAACAGTGTCAATAAACGCGTAATTATGTTTCATTATGATACCATTTTCATTACGAAGGTGTTTGGCTAAATTTATCTTTTCATGAAAAATCTAATTCACGTAAGGGACCTAACAAATTTCAATACTAGAAGAAAATTTCAATAGGGCTATGGCCTATGCATCAGAGTGGTGTTCATCTCCTAGCTGGACTTGTCCCCGACTTCTAAACCAGTTTGTTTTGGGAGAATTACATGTTTCGCCCCTCATATTTGAACCAGGCTAAAATTGAAATTTAAATTGTTTTTTTTTTTCTTTTTTAATTTATTTTATATACGTATATATCATTTTGTTTGTTAAGACTAAAATATTATTCAAAAAAATTCTAATGTATTTGTATTTCATATACTTTTTTGCATTTAATTTTTGAAAATTAAATATTATTCAATTTCTTTTTATAAATATTATTAAAAAAATTATATAAATAATACTTTGAATTTTTTATTCTTGGACAAAATGTACTTCGCCCCCTTAAAAAAATTAGTTTTTGCACTTCGCCTGCAATTACAAAAAAGAGACACCACCCCTTCAGAATACAAAACGGTGAGCACATTGCACCATAATGAACTTTTGTCCGGAATTTTGCTGGAATTTGGGTTTTATAAAGGGTATTTTCGTCATTTAAAGTAGAATTCTTATTTTGTTTTTTTTCTTTTTGTTTGAAATGTATTATTTATTTGTTTCACCTAAATTAAAGTTGTGCTTAGAAAACTATTTACTAAACGCAAGAAGTAGGGTTTTTCTTCTCTCTCCCCAAAATCAACACACGCCCTGCTATGAAATCTTCACTGACATAATCTGAAAATTGTGCGTGCAAAATGAGTTGGAAATTGCGACAAGGACAACAGAGAACAATCAATGGTATTTATACCGACTTTGATTTTTATTCTTAAGATCTTCTTTGACAATGGCATTAAATCAACGTTTAAGTTAATGTAATTTATATTGTTTGTTTTAGAACACGTGAAGTTATATAATCAGATCAGTGTCCCTTTAAAAATAGAGTTAATGAGATATAAGCCCCTCATTAGGAAAAATATTATGACTAACTACCTCACATTATTTTTAATGGGTCAAACCCCCTCACAATTAGAAATTACTAAATTACCCTCACAATTTCTAATAGCAATGCCCCTCGTTGTTTTCCCCAAAAACTGCATATCTTCAACCATTTCGTCAATATATTTCTCCCCAATTTCCGCTAGTCTGCTATTTTTGTGCCAAGAAAATCGCAAATAAAATCTGCAAATATATCGGATCATTTCCCAGTCGCAACAATGTCCTATTTTGCTACATTTCTTAAAAAAAAAAAAAACCAAATTACTTTGTGTGGGAATCGTTGAGAAATACAGGTCGTCAAAAATGGTGAAAGGTAGCTAGAAGAAGATAGGTAGTTTCTTATACACCCATCGCTCCACTCGACGTCTATTAACCTAACTTATGTACATTTACCACATAATTTTTGTACTTGACACCCTTCTCAACGACTCCGAAAGACAAATCGATGTCTCCTACAGAAACGATACGCAACGGTATGCGACTACCATATGCGACGGTTCGGTCTTCCATGGTCGATTACTCAAAAATGGAGTTTGTAAACAAGCTAGTTTTTTAGATATACGGATCTATGGTCGCACCATTTGTTAACTCATAAATATTTGTTTCCTATGAAATTTGTTTTATCATAGTCCACAACAAAGAAAAAATTATTGTTGTCGAAAAATGTAAAATATTGTAGTCATCTACACTGAGAATCAACTATAAAATCGGATAGTTCATTATATTGTTCCCAAAGTCAAAAATAAAAATTACATAGTCAACTATAATTTTTACGATGTCAACTATAAAAAAAATGGTAGTTAACTATATTGTTGCCAGAGTCAACTACAAAAATTAGATAGTCAACTATAATTGTTCCGATGTCAACTATAAAAACGTTGGTAGTCAACTATAATTTTTCCATTAATTCACTATATTATTTTTCAATTTAAGATATTATAGTGTTATAAAATTGAATACTCATGATAAAAATCTGATCTCTGGTGAAAACATGAATTTCATAGAGTAGAAAAAAAGATTGATTTCAACGACCAAACAATAAGATGTAGAAGAAAAGGTAAAGTAGTGAAGAAATAGAGAAAAATAAAGAGAAAAAATGAAACAAAAACAGACGAGAAGAGAGGAAATTAGGGAAGAGAAAGAAGAGAGAGAAAAGAGAGAGAAAGGAGAGAGGAAAGATTGAGAAAAAAAATAAAAGAAAAATGTACGAGAAGGGAGGAAATTGGGGAAGAGATAGAAGAGAGATAAGCGAGCGAGAGAGGGAAGAGAGGAGAGAGAAGAAGAAGAAGAAGAAGAAAAGAACAAGACGTCACGTCAAAAGTGAGGAAAGAAAGGAAGAGATGGAAATGAATGGAGAATATAAAATGAGGAATAAGAAATAAATAAGGAGAAGAGAGAGAAAATATGAGAAAAATATGGACAAAAAGGATATAATGGGCATTAACATAAGCTTTGGGGGTCACACAATTCAGAAAATATTAAACGGGTTTGTTTACAAACGGGTCAATTATAAATTGGGCTCACACTATATTATTTTACCTAATGAGGGAGTTATCCCTCATTTTCCCTTAAAAATATGAATAATGGTCTCACACCATTAAAAAGTTTGTCTTGCATATTATGTATCTTTACAAATTTGAGATTGTGAATGTTTACCTGTATTTTTTTCTTTTATTTTCAAATAATAATAAATTCACCGTGGCCCAATACACTTTAACTTTTTACTACATTAATATACTATTTTATGTTATTACCTAAGCTTAATTAATTAGTTCCACTAAATGTATATTAATATTTTATATGTCCCTGGTGGCTCAAAAGATTTTACAATTTAAATGCATCATGGAGGAAATTTTCAGAATCTCGATTTACGATATTATGCTAGGATAAAGTCGACCAATAGAAAAATTGTAACGCAGACATGATGCCCATGAGAGAAATAAAATCCATGTTTGTTGAATTGGGTCATTACAAATATGGGGATAATTGTGTTGCACTGAGATATTATCACACTTTAAGAAGACCTTATGATTACAACGAGGTCAAATAATAGGTAAATAACATCGATGCTATGAACTTAGAGAATTTAGTTGAGGAGGATAAAGTAGTTGGTGTATTTCGAAGGGGGAGGGGGTGTCTCTCTTTTGTATACTTTCAGGGGGGAAAGTGCAAAAAGTGGATATTTTAAGGGGTTGAAGTGCATTTTGTCCAAAAGCAAATGAGAAAAAAGTGTCATAATCTTTGTATAAATCACACATTGAAATTAGTTCCGACTCGCTTTGTATCCATCGAGCTTGAAAAGTTTGGAGTGGAAAAAATTGTTAGGAAACCCTAAATTGATAAGAAGAATAATTCAGTGACTTAATTAATATTTTTTTTTTTAAAATGAGGGATAACCCCCCTCGATATACAAAATAATAGAGTCCAGACCCATTTTAATATTTACTATCTGTAAAGAAATCTAAATTTAACATTAGGAATTGTGAGAACCCCCCTTACGTGTTTATTATTCCAATTTTGTCCTTTCTTCCCCCACTATTTCCCTCTATTCCCCGTCTCTTCTCAACCGTCCTTTTGACGTGTTGTTCTTTTATTGTTTTTCTTCTCTCTCCTCTCTTATCTCTTCTCTCCCACAATTTCCTCTCATCTCGTATTTTTTTTGTTATTCATTCTCTCCCTCTCTCCTCTCTCCTCTCTCTCTCTCTCTTCTCTCTCTCATTTTTCTTCCCTCATTTCCTTTGTTCTCGTCTGTTTCATTTTTTCTCTTTATTTTTCTCTATTTCTTCTCACTACTTTATTTTTTCTTCTACATCTCATTTTTTTGTCGTTGAAATCAATCTATTTTCTACTCTATGAAATTCATGTTTTCACCGGAGATGAGATTTTTATCATGAGTATTCAATTTTATAACACGTAGTATCTTAAATTGAAAACTAACGTAGTGAATTAATGGAAAAATTATAGATGACTACCAATTTTTTTATAGTTGACATCGGAACCATTATAGTTGATTATCTAATTTTTGTAGTTGACTCTGGCAACAATACAGTTAACTACCATTTTTTTATAGTTGACATAAAGTTGACTATCTAATTTTTTATAGTTGACTTTGGAAAAAATATAGTGAACTATCCGATTTTATAATTGACTCTAAGTGTAGATTACTACAATATTTTATGTTTTTCGACAAAAATGATCTCTTCTTTGTTGTGTACTCTTGATAAAACAAATTTCATAGGAAACAAATATTTATGATTCAACAAATAGTGTGACCATAGATCTGTAGATCTAAAAAACAAGTTTGATTACAAACTTCATTTTTGAGTTATCAACCATGGAAAAATTCTGAACCATCGCATATTGTCATAGCGTACTGTTGCATACCGTTGATGTAGGAGACTTTGATTTGTCCTTCGGAGTCGCTGAGAAGGGTGTCAAAAACAGAAATTATGTGGTAAATGTATATAGATTAGGTTAATAGATGTCGAGGGGAGCGATGAGTGTATAAGAAACTACCTGTCTTCTTCTTGCTACCTTTCACCACTGTTGTCGACCTGTATTTCTCAACGATTCCCACACACATTTTTTTTTTTTTTTTTTTGTAAGAAATGTAAGAAACTAGGGCATTGTTGCGACTGGGAAAGGATCCGATATATTTTGCAGATTTGTTTTACTACTTTCTTGGCATAAATATAGCTGACTAACAAAAATTGGGGAGATGATATATTAACGAAATGGTTGAAGATATGCAGTTTTAGGAAAAAATAGTGGGGGGTCATTGCTATTAGAAATTATGGGGGTAGTTCAGTAATTGCTACTTATGAAGGGGATTGACCCATTAAAAATAATGTGAGATGGTTAGTTCTAATATTTTTCCTAATGAGGGGGTTATATCTTATTAACCCTTTTTTTTGAATTATCAGTGACTTAATTAATACTTAGAAACCCTAAAAAAACTTCATTTATATTTTTGCACAAAATAAATCTAATAATTTTCTAATTACTAGTATTCCACACCCCCCACCCACCCAGCATATACAAAAAAAAGACATTGCCCCTTCAAAATACAAAACGGTGAGCACATTGCTCCATGATGAATATTTGTCCAAAATTTTGCCGGAGATTGTGTTTTATAAAGGGTATTTTCATCATTTAAGGTTGAATTCTTATTGTGTATTTTTTTTTTTTATTTGAAAGGTTCAACTATGAATCTTCTTACACCTTCACCCTTATGGTGTCAAATTCAACAGAATCATCTAGATTATGTGGAATGTGCTCTAGTTAGTACTCGTTTTATGTAAAAATATAGTTTCTGATGCACCACAATCTGATATATACAGGTCAAAAAACACATCTTATAATCATCTTTATTCAAAATGTAGAGCTCGAATGGGATAAAACAGGGACAAAAGTGATAAATTCCACATAATGAAGAAAATTCCACAAAATTTGAAACCGCAAGAGTAGATGTGTAAGAAGATTTATAGTTGATGGATGGTTATAATTACCCAAACAGGTGGGGATTTCGTAATTTGACCATACCTCAGGAGTGGTTGTAATTTACCCTATATTTTATGTAAAAACGACTAACTTTAATAATGAAATCTTAAATTATTATTTGAAATGGTATCATGTGCGAGTTGCTTACTAGACAGTGACAAAACAAATGAATAAACTAGTTGCTAAATATACAAGCTACCACTAATTCCCCACTTATTTTAATGGGTTAGTCGTCTAATGAAGAAACACGGTTTCAATGGTTCACAATACAATTCCGGCTGAACGACTTTCTGTAGTCAACTTGTACTTGTGCTTCAATTGCTGAGTTTCATATTTTCATCAATCAATAGGATTTTTGAATCAATTTTTTATACACTGAAACAATTTTTTTTTTCTTGTTTTGAAATGGGCCGGCTTGATTTGATGATTGAGTCGGAGAGAGGACGAAGATCAACAACAACAGCAACAAGAGGAAGAAGAAGATCGCATAGTAGAAGCCAAGATAATGATCACAGTAACCATGTGACAAATGTAAACAACGACTATGACTTGTATCTCTCAGCCAAAAACGGCAGCCTTGATGATTTTAGCAGAACCCTGCATCGAGTTTCAACGGCAGAACGAGTACCAGTTGGTGTAATATTGCACAGACTCAGCCCTTCTGGAAATACATTTCTTCATATAGCTGCCAAACATGGAAATGAACAAGTAGTGGCTTATATAGCTGCTAAGGATCCATCCTTGATGTTAATCAAGAATTCCTTTAACGGAGATACCGCTTTGCATCTTGCTGCTAAAGCTGGAAATGAATCAACGGTCAAAACCCTGGTTTCGGAATCTCAAGATGTAGCAGGAGGAGAGAACAATAATTTATTAAGAGCCAAGAATGAGAGAGGAAACACAGCCTTGCATGAAACGTTAATCAACAGTCGGGATTCAATTGCTATATATTTGATCGAAAAAGACCCCGAGGTATCGTATTACGAAAACAAAGAAGGAGAATCGGCATTCTACCTGGCGGCCAAAGCTGGTTCTGCAGAATGCGTATCTTTGATTCTGAATCGATTATCAACGGATGGTGACCGCATTAATGAGCTTTTCAACAGAAAGTACTCACCCATTCAAGCAGCTATAGAGGGGAAGAAAAGAGGTACATATTTTTAATTCAACATTTTCTCATCTTCTCTGGTGTTCATCATATCCTATTAATTAAGCAACAAAGAATTAACAAGAAGAAACAATGCTCTTTTTAGTCAATCAAGCACTTGAAAAAAGCTTACTGTTAATTACAATTAATATATATATATATATATATATATATATATATATATATATATATATATATATATATATATCAGATGTTTTGGAAGCGATGTTAAAGATCAATCCAAGCTTGATAAAATCAAGAGATGGGACAGGAAGAAATCCACTACACCATGCAGCGGTATTAGGCCATCTTGAAGACGTCCGTTACTTGCTAAAGCAATACCCTCCAAATGCCACCGAAAGAGACAACATTGGAATATTCCCTATTCATTTGGCATCGTTTTATGGCAACGTCCAAGTCATCAGCTTTTTGCTTCATGACTGTCCGGATCCAGAGGAGATGCTCGATGGAGATGGTTGCAATATTCTACACATTGCTGCAAGAAACGGAAGATGTAATGTAGTCAGCTACGTTCTGAAAAGTCCATATCTGAAGGGCCTTATAAACATGAAAAATAAATACGGAAACACACCCCTGCATTTGGCAACTATGAATTGGCACCCGAAAATTGTCAGTGCATTAACATGGGACAATAGAGTCGACGTTACATTGGTCAATGACAAGGGTATGACAGCTCTAGATGCTGCTAACCATTACATGCCCGATAATCCCCAATTTCCTCAGGTATCTACCTGCACACACACACACACACACACACACACACACACACACAAACACACACACCAAGAAAAAAAGTAAATAGTCTTGATTCTCTGTGTCATTCTTTACCAGACTGTCACAATTCACTACGTTTTGTCTCTATTTTTTTCATGCAGCGTTTGACTTGGGCTGCCTTGAAAGCTGGTGGAACCCCTCATTCTCCGACTCGAAAGACAACAATAGGTAGACAGGACCCAAAGAAGAGTTCGAACAAGGATAACTATAAGGAAAGAGTCAACACTCTTTTACTAGTCGCTACTCTCGTTGCCACCATAACATTTGCAGCCGGATTCACTGTACCTGGTGGATACAATACAGATACGGGAATGGCAACCATGCTGAGAGACAAGGGATTTAATATATTTATATTCTGCGACGCTATAGCCATGTACAGCTCCATTGTAGTGGCTGTGACTCTCATTTGGGCTCAATTAGGTGACATAAAATTAGCACTTAATGCACTCACTTTGGCAGTGCCGTTGCTCGGGATTGCTCTTTGCATGATGTCAATTGCTTTCACCGCTGGGGTTTTCGTAGTAGTCAGCAAACTTCGATGGCTAAGTACTGCCATACTTGTCATGGCCACCGTTTTTCTTGTTATTATGTTCATCATCCTCGCTCCAATGTGCGGTTCACATACTTCAAGTAATCGGATAGTACGATATCTATCCTACTATCCCTTCTATTTGTTGATATTAGCAAGCAGCAGCTAAGCCAAAGAACTGATAGTACTGTCTGCAATAATGATCTTTTTGTACCTCATTGAACAAGCTTTTGTTTATTATTTCGATTATGGACTGAATACATTTTGTCAGATATTAAGATATTTGCTTGCTTTTGCAAAGGCCGAAGACTGCTAATCCATGACTAACTCGTAAATATAAGCAGTTATTATCGAGCCAAAAATTTAGGTTCGTACGATCCACTTTTCTTTATAACCTGTTAGGTTGCAAATATACATTAGTCAGATACAAGATTATGCAATTTTACGAGAACCGAATTATGTAATTAGACTAGAAGAGGCCAAACATCCAAACAATGATGTGCGCGACAAAGTATTGAGCCAACCAAACATCCAACAATGTCCAATTATTTATTTTACTTCGATTTTATCTTAACAACCAAACACAAACTTTATCAAGTGATTCATTATAAACTGCCATTCAGTTAAGTCCAACACAAACTTTATGAAGTGATTAATTTAGTCCAAGTATCATATAATTATGTATATTTAAAGCAACAAAATCATTAACCACTTTGACCAGTACAAATAGACAAATGTGATAACATCATGGATGATGGAATAAACAAGTGTGGGAAAACAAGTCTAAATAACACCATTGCAAGTGTGCTATTTCAAGTCAATTAATATGAAATTATTGGAGAGTTTCCTTCCAACGCGTGCTTTGACTACTCATACACAGCCAAAAACAATGCCAATTATTGTGTCAAAATAAACTCTCGAGAAATATTGAAAACTTGACTGCGGTCGTTCGACATCAAACAGTGTCAATAAACGCGTAATTATGTTTCATTATGATACCATTTGCACTAGGTGCATTAGGAGGGTGTTTGGCAACTCAGTAAGACGATGATGTTAAGTGTTAGTAACAAAAGATCTAACGACAACAAATTTCGATACAGAATCAAAATTCCGACGTATTAAACCTAACAAATTCAGCTTAAAAATATGTTATGAACGATTACAGTTTATTTTAACAAATAAAAAATTAAAAAAAAATAAATAAAATTAGAACCTATTTTTAGAAAATTAGATATCACATCACACTGTTTACAAGCTCCAAATAATAAGAGGATCTATTGTTTAAGTTATAAACCAAATACATGTCCTCATACAGAAATCTTCCTTGAAAAAGTTGACATTTCTTAAATTCAAACAAAGCAATAAACACCAAGGTTTCACAGAAATTACCAGATAATTTACACACACACACACACACACACACACACAGTTCATAAACATATTTTAGTATAAAAAGTCTAGATAGGCTTGATTTTCTAAAGGAAGAATGAGAGTAAAGTAACTGAAAAACCACAATCTACCTATGTCTGTACCCAAATATCCAGGATTGCTAGAAGAAGAGGAGACTTACGAAACTGCAGAAAATATGGATCCGCAATTATACCGAGCAACAACCGAAGGCGACATTCTTGAATTTGTGAGAGCAATGGAAGAAGGAACGCTCGACCGACACCACAGCCCGCCAGCTTCTTGTGTGCAGTTAGGCCCTCAAAAGAACACTGTTCTGCACATAGCAACAAACTTTGCTCGTTACGAAATTGTTAAACTTATCTGCAAGGACTTACCTTTCTTTGTCGCTGAAAAAAATGCAAAAGGCGACATCGCACTCCATATAGCTGCAAGAGCTGGCGATTCACTGCTCGTCACTTTGTTGGTTAATTCAGATTTCAAAGAAGGCGGACTCGATGAGAAGAACGAGGAAGGAAATACTGCACTGCACGAGGCTCTTAAATACGGACACGAAGAAGTGGCTCGAATACTGATTAATAAGAATCCGGAGATGCATTATTCTCTTAATATGGAAGGTAAATCTTTGCTTTATCTTGCTGCAGAGGCAGGATTTGTCACTATTGTTCGGCTCCTTTTGGACAACCCTGTCGGAAATTACAGTGTGGGTGCAAAACACAAAAACAAGTCACCTGTTTTCGCTGCAATTCTTGGGCGCAACATAGGTAAGTTTCATCAACTTTTTTCTTTTCACTTTATTGTCATCCTCCATTAAACATGCTGAAGGATTCTTTGGTTTATACGAAAAAAACTTGTAGATGTAATGAAATTACTGTGGGAAAAGGATCCATCAATGTTTCAGCTAAGAAACAGCAAAGGAAAGAATCCTCTTCATGCAGCAGTATGCATGGGTTATACTGAAGGGGTCAAATTCTTACTCGATAACCATTGTGAATTTGCTTACCAGAAAGATAAACAAGGATTCTACCCAATCCATTCAGCTTCAAACAAAGGCCTTCTCGACATAATCAAATTGATGCTTCAACGTCGGCCGGATGTAAGGGAGCTGCTGACTGGACATGGTCAGAATATGCTGCATGCTGCCGCTAGAAGTGGAAAGTACAGAGCAGTGGAGTGCATGCTTAAAATGCCAGAGCTGGAAAAGCTTATTAACGAAAAAGACGAAGATGGAAACACACCTTTACACCTTGCAACCATTTATGGGCATCCGAAGCTCGTTCGCGTACTCATAAGGGATGAAAAAGTGATTCTTAAGCTGGTAAACAACAATCGCCAGACAGCACTCGACGTTGCTGAGGAACAAATGGAAATGGGACTTGCGTCATTTCAAAAGGTCAGTCAGTGCTTTACGATATTGAAAGGATATTTTAAAATCATAATCTTGAAACCGTAAGAATTTACAATATCTGGTAAATTCAAATAGCACGCCAAATTTTATAAGTCTTGACATATATAAAACATCTCACAACATAAATAAAGTATTTCCGAACGTAAATTATACATTTCTCAACATAAATAAAACGTATTTAACTACCTTGTTTACAATGCAGAGGCTTGCCTGCATGGCCCTGAGAGTAGTCGGTGCCCCACGTTCACACCAAAAAAAGAATTTAAGAAGTATGAGTGTGAAGATCGGAAACCAGTCAGAGACAGAAAGTTGGAGAGATAAAATAAATGTGATCCTGCTTGTGGCCACATTAGTTGCAACTGTTACATTTCAAGCAGGTTTCACAATGCCCGGTGGTTATAACAACACTAATCCCGACCAAGGAATTGCAAACATGCTAGAAAAGGTTAAATTTCAAGAGTTTGTAATATGCGACACCATAGCAATGTACAGCTCTATAATTGTTGCTGTCACACTCATATGGGCACAGCTGGGTGACCCTAGCTCAATGCGCGTTGCTCTGAAATTTGCTTTGCTTCTGTTGGGAATAGCTCTTGCTATGATGTCTATTGCGTTCTTCGCAGGTGTCTACTTAGTCGTCAGCAAACTCGGTTGGCTGGCAAATGTCGTCTTGCTCATTGGCTCGAGCTTTATCTTTGCGCTTGTGGTAATATTCCTTCCTCTGTTTTTCTTGGGCTCGTCGAGCTACCATGTGTTCCGCCACCTGTCATATTATCCATTCTGCCTTGTGTTATACACTTTGGGGGCCTAAGAATCGTAAATTCGCATACTAGGTTATCTGAAGATAACCTCCAGTTGCAGGTATTGTGTAATAAGTTGGGAATCTTGGTTGTGTTATTGATCAATAATGTGTTGGTCAATAGGTGTAATGTATGAACTGAAAGGATTTCAGAATAATCCTACACAGTGAACAGTGTTATGCTCTTCAGTTTTCACTATATAGTCAGGACATTATATAGTCCACAATAGGATGTCTGAAAATCTATGTAAGCCAGGGAATAGTGTGACTAAATCGATATATATATATATAAATAAATCGCAAGCATGTTTTACGATGAGATGCAAAAGACAAAACAATTAATCATTCTTGCAGTATTAGAGTCCATCAGAAGAACCTTACAGTGTTCTCGGAATGCAAGCCTTCGCAAAGTGATCCCGCTTTGCGCTTCTGATCCCTGCAGAAACTAATGTTACATAACAGGTTTTTAATATCAAGATTATTACACACACACACACACACACACACACACACACATAGACACACAGAGACATAGTACATACATCGAGATATTGATCCTTAGCTACTCTAAACAGCAGTTGTTGTATCAACAAATGTTTTCGATGAACAGTTTAGAGTTAGATACATGATTTCGACAGTGGTGCATGAAATTGATAATCACTCAGATATCAATCACCAAAACATTAGGCATTTACTGTGCACAGTAAAACAAAAGTTCACGCAGAGATTTTAAGAGTTCAAAGATTAACCAAAGTACATTGAGCATTAATAAGAATAATTGCAGAAATTTTAAGAGTTCAAAGGTTACAAACCTCATATCTCATACGCAGTCACCAAATGCAAACATCGAGTTTCTACATCCCCTCATCCAATCAGCACATCCGCAACAACATCTAAATCAGGCCGCAGAATAATCAAATCAAAATCCAACAGGTTTTATTTTTCTTCATACTCAATCCTCCTTCAACAATTTGATGGGCTAAAAACTTCAAATTGCATAATTGATCAGAGTTAAAAAAAAATGCGAATTGGATTTATTATAAGAATACCCAAAAGAGAATAACCAAAGAAAACCCCAAAAGATGAAAAACACCATATGGTTGCAGCATTGGTAACAGTTAGATTGAATATTATAAAGTCTGGTAGATACAGTAAAGAGAGGAATTGTTCAAACAAAATACCATTTTACTGAAAAAAACATTACATCTGGTAGATTCGATCTAAAGAGAAATGTACAAAGAAACCCTAATACTAAAATCAACCACCGAACCCGTAAAGAGTACGGCCCTGCCTCTTGAGAGCATAAACCACGTCCATGGCAGTTACTGTTTTGCGGCGAGCGTGCTCGGTGTAGGTGACGGCGTCACGGATCACGTTCTCCAGGAATATCTTCAGCACGCCACGTGTCTCTTCATAGATCAATCCGCTTATTCTCTTCACGCCGCCCCTACGAGCCAGACGGCGGATGGCCGGCTTTGTGATGCCCTGGATGTTGTCGCGGAGCACTTTGCGGTGGCGCTTTGCCCCGCCCTTTCCCAGCCCCTTTCCGCCCTTTCCTCTTCCTGACATTTTTCGAAAAATTTATTTTATTTTTGATTTGGTTTTTGTTGCTGATGTATTGTTGGTGGCAGAGTCGACGATGGAGAAGTATTAAATAGACGTGAAATGTCAATCTGGAGTCGTTCGATTTTGAAGGCTTGTCGACGGTTGAGGTCTTGCAGATGGCGATCCGTGTCTTCTGTTTTGGGCGATCTACATCGTTGATAACAAGAACATCTACGGTGTACACAAGTATATCTTGATACGCGGATTATGTGCTTGTTGAGGTGGATTTTTGGCATGCATAGGGAATTGTGCCAAAAGAAGTCAGGTATTTTGTTTTTTTTGTTTGGTAGTGATTAACGGGTGAGATTGAGAGGAAAAAAATGAACGACCGAGATGACTGCGTAGAAAAAATCACGGACTGTTATTGTACTTTGCAGAGGCGAATTCTACAAAAGCAGAAACCACCTCTGCAAGAGGCGATTTCTGCCAAAGCCTGCTGCAAAGCAGCCTCACTTTATTTCGGTCACCAATAATCGAGAGGAGGGGGTTGTGGGGTGGGGCCAATTTTGCATTTAAATTGGCAGGTGAATGGAGGGGAGTTTGCTTTTACTCCCTTCTTTTTTTCTTCATTCTTCACAAATTTCCAACACAGAATTTTCAACCCAGGTATTGCGTGAACTCTTTTTTTTTTCTTTAGCAATTTTTTTAACTTTTTTTTAAATAATGTTGCTTAATGTTTTTAAAACACGAGGTTGTTATTATAATGTTATATAAATTTAATCTGTTTATTTATATATTTTCAGTTTTGTAACAGAAAATTATAAAATACAGCTATGTTTAGTTAGTTTTATAATTTTTCGTTTTTTAACTTGTTTTTAAAATATTGTACTAATTTTAATTTCTTTTGCAGAAGGTGAAAGTAAAAATACGAAGGTATGTTCTAATATGTTTAGTATATGTAATTTTTTCATTTTAATTCGTGAGTTGATTTATATACATATATATATATATATATATATATATATATATATATATATATATATATATATATATATATATATATATATATATATATATATATATATATATATATATATATTGATCCGGACAGGGCCACCCAGACGGCCCAATAAGGAGCAAAGGCTCATCAAGGTGGCTCTATAGCCCGTTACCGTTTGCCAGATCCAGTAAAGACCCAAAGGCCCAAGCAAGGTCAAAGGGCACCATTAAGCCCACTAAGAGAAGAAGGTCCATTAAACTGGTGTGCTCGTTGGCGAGAGGGACCAAGCAGCGGGTCGCGAGTAACCCGCGAGAGAGAGAGGCCTCTCGCTGACTCACCCTCCCGCCAAGCTTCTCGCCAGACCAGCCCGGAGATGATTCGAGATGCACATGGAGGCATTTAATGCACGTCCAATCCACTGACAGACGCAGAGGAATGTCGTTTCGGCCCCCTACTTTTTGCACATGCATCCGCCAATGAAATGACATATTAAACTGCATTGAAGGTAATTTGGGGTCCGAATGCCTAAATTACCGCGATTGGACAGGTAAATCAAATTGAAGAATATTTGACGTCCGTCCCCTTTTTTAGTATAAATAGGGGCAGTAAATACAGGAAAACCACAACGAAATCATATACATCAATTACATACAGAAGCATAATATCTTCTTCAGGAAGTTACTGACTTGGCCGTCGGAGTGCTAACTCCGGCCTAAGTCCGGTTCTTTTCTTTCTTGTAGGTTTATCGTGGGCTCCGGTCCAAGTTCAGGCCTACTCAACTTTCTAAACCAGCCCACCACGAATCCAGCCGGATCAAATGGCGCCGTCTGTGGGAAATTGAGCGTTAAGACGTCGATTTTTCAACTACTTCTACTGTAAGCAAAACACCTGTGGGAGTGGATGTTAGTGAATCGAGGGAGATTTCTTGGGCTTTCCTTAAAATCCACTGCATCACCATATTTGTTTTACTTGTGCGATTTCAATACATATGAGGCAGACCTGGGTACATAAACCGACCCAAAACCTCAATCAGAGATGTTGGATCTGGAGGACTCCTTAGAGCTCGAAGTTGATTTGCTTTAATGAGCTTGATTCATGGGAGTTTGATTTCCTAAATTTATTTTTTGGCTTGAAGCTTTTCAAGCACGCAGTATTCTCTCAAAATGAATTCCGGAAGTTTATATTTACTGCTTGGAGCTCAATTGTCTAATTCTGGCCCAGGTTTTGCCGACTCAATGTCTGTCGAGCTGAAATTCACCAATCCAATGTCCGCCGAGCTGAATTTCGCCGACTCAGTGTCCGCCGAGCTGAATCTCGCGACCCAATGTCCGTCGAGCTGAGTCTCGCGACCCGATGTTCCCGAGCCGAATTTCGCCGACTCGATGTCCGCCGAGCTGAAATTCACCAATCCAATGTCCGTCGGGCTGAGTCTCGCGAACCGAAGTTCCTGAGCTGAATCTCGCCGACTCAATGTTCGCCGAGCTAAAATTCACCGATCCAATGCTTTCTAAACTGAGATTATACATGAAAATATAATCGTAATTTGAATTTTCGCTTAATTATGATAAACTATAAATTTGTACAGGGGCTGACTTGAATTTATTTCGCTAGAGGTATAGAGTAGAATAACTCGCAAATTATTCTATAAAGATAGGGACTTGGCGAGATGGATTTTCCTCAGAATAAGCTCAGCTTTAGTGGGATTTCTCGAAAGAGCTCACAGTGTTGGACATTCCGCTAACTTGCGAATGTATTGGAGTCCGACTAGCAGAAATCCTCCGACGAGCAGAATAACTCAGACGAGCTGGAGATATCCGACGAGCAGGATCTCCCTAATGAGCTGGAGATATCCGACGAGAAGGACCTCGCCCACGAGCTGGATCTCCCTGACGAGCTGGAGATATCCGGCGAGCAGGATATCTGCGACGAGCAACATACCTTCGACGAGCAGGATCTCGCCGACGAGCACGAGATATCTGACGAGCAGGATCTCTCCGACGAACAGCATACCTTCGACGAGCAGGATCTCGCCGATGAGCAGGAGGTATCCGACGAGCAGGATCTCTTTGACGAACAGCATACCTCCGACGAGCAGGATCTCCCGGACGAGCTGGAGATATCCGACAAGCAGTATCTCGCCGACGAGCAAGATCTCGCCGACGAGCGGGTGAGCAGGCGAGCTTCGAAAAATCCGACGAGCAAGATCTCGCCGACGAGCAAGAGATTTCCGACGAGCAGGATCTCGCCGACGAGCAGGAGATATCCGACGAGCAGGATCTCTCCGACGAGCAGAATACCTCTAACGAGCAGAATAACTTAGACGAGCAAAAGATATCCGACGAGCAGCATACCTCCGACGAGCAGGATCTCGCCGATGAGCAGGAGGTATCAGACGAGCTGAGGATATCCGACGAGCAGTATCTTGCCGACGAGCAGGATCTCCCTGACGAGCAAGAGATATCCGACGAGCAACATACGTTCGACGAGCAGGATCTCGCCGACGAGCAAGAGATATCCGACGAGCAGGATCTCTTTGACGAACAGCATACCTCCGACGAGCAGGATCTCCCGGACGAGCTGTAGATATCCGACAAGCAGTATCTCGCCGACGAGCAAGATCTCGCCGACGAGCAGGTGAGCAGGCGAGCTTCGAAAAATCCGACGAGCAAGATATCGCCGACGAGCAAGAGATTTCCGACAAGCAGGATCTCTCCGACGAGCGGCATACCTTCGACGAGCAGGATCTCGCCGACGAGCAAGAGATATCCGACGAGCAGGATCTCTTTGACGAGCAGCATACCTCCGACGAGCAGGATCTCGCCGATGAGCAGGAGATATCAGACGAGCTGAGGATATCCGACGAGCAGTATCTCGCCGACGAGCAGGATCTCCCTGACGAGCAAGAGATATCCGACGAGCAACATATGTTCGACGAGCAGGATCTCGCCGACGAGCAAGAGATGTCCGACGAGCAGGATCTCTTTGACGAACAGCATACCTCCGACGAGCAGGATCTCCAGGACGAGCTGTAGATATCCGACAAGCAGTATCTCGCCGACGAGCAAGATCTCGCCGACGAGCAGGTGAGCAGGCGAGCTTCGAAAAATCCGACGAGCAAGATCTCGCCGACGAGCAGGATCTCTCCGACGAGCAGCATACCTTCGACGAGCAGGATCTCGCCGACGAGCAAGAGATATCCGACGAGCAGGATCTCTTTGACGAACAGCATACCTCCGACGAGCAGGATCTCGCCGATGAGCAGGAGGTATCAGACGAGCTGAGGATATCCGACGAGCAGTATCTCGCCGACGAGCAGGATCTCCCTGACGAGCAAGAGATATCCGACGAGCAACATACCTTCGACGAACAGGATCTCGCCGACGAGCAAGAGATATCCGACGAGCAGGCACTACTACAAAAAGTTGCTTTTATGGTGCCTTAAACCGTCACTATAACGATCTGTCGTGACGCTTAGGCTATTGTGACGCCAGCCAAAAGCGTCACATAGGTGGCCGTCATAATATGTTTTTGTGACGGAAGGGGCGTCCTAAAATCTCCATTATTATGACGCCGTTACGCGTCCAAAATATGCATATTTTGTGACGTTTGAAAGCGTCACATTATTTGTCGTCAACTGCTATTTTTTTTTTGGCAATAACTGCTATTTTTATGACACGTTCAACGTCCCAAAATCTCTATATAATGACGATTCGAGCGTCTCAATAAACTTAATTATGTGACACTCCACATGTCACAATAAGTTCTTTTTGTGACTATTTTATGTTATTCAAATAGTGACTCTTTTGTTTATGTTCGATCTGCTATTGCTAAAAACCATAAACATTAAAGTTTAAATATCCACAACGTAGAAGAATTCTTTTAGATACACACATAAAAAAAGTCCTCATTAAAGCTATTGATTTAAATGGTACAAAATAACATAAATATTTCAATAACAAGCATTCCAACTCCCAATGTATAAAAAAAAGAAGAAACCTTATTCTACATAGTCTAATCGCATATCGCTTTTGACGACTGGCTGGCTTTTCACCTTGTTGTTATGTTAGCCGTAGCGTGACTCCCCTCCTTCTCTCACTTCGGAAAGATTTAGCAATCTTTTATGTCCTGGTCGAGAGAGATGCTAGATGGGATCAATTCTTTCTAAAAGAAACTTCAAAGAATAATTAAATTAATGACGTACAAACTACTTAACTCGTAAACAATTTTGAAATACATCTAAAGTGACTTCACCATAAACCTCATACACAAATAAAAAATCCATGATAAGCTATTACAATATTCATTTTATAAAATAAATGATATAACATCTAAATAGCATATTAAAATTTTAATGATCTAACATCAAGAAAATGTAATTCTGAATACGAGGTTGTAGGCTCGTTTGTGGATAGGTTAATCACATTTCAAACCATTTTCAAAGTACATGGACAAACTATTTGTACATAACGATAAGCTTACCTATTTATAATACAAGACATTGAAATATAAGCTAAATATGAGAGTTGATGTATAGAAAATGTCATATGCAAATAAATCTCACCTTAAGACTTTCCGGCATGCCCCCTCCATTTTTTTTTATAAGAATTGTCTGTTTGAAATTAAGAATGAATAAGAAAGTGAGTATAGATATGCTAATACAGAATATGAGAACAAATAGTATCATACTTGTCGTAGAATAAAGAGATGCCACTCCACCATTATCCTAATAAAAAATTACACAATCAATCACTTCGAAAATCTGAATGGTAAATACAAAGTTTTGGTGCAACTGGATTTGGCTAGAGAGCACGAAACGAAAGTTAGAATTATTTACAATATGAAAGTTGCGAGCGGAATTTGCATCGAGCAAATCCCGCTAGAGAGCACGAAACGAAAGTTAGAATTATTTGCAATGCGAAAGTTGCGAGCATAATTTGCATCGAGCAAATTCCGCTAGAAAGAACGAAACGAAAGTTAGAATTATTTGCAATGCGAAAGTTGCGAGCGGAACTTGCATCGAGCAAACTCCGCTAGAGAGCACGAAAGTTGAACTATTTACAATATGAAAGTTGCGAGCGGAATTCGCATCGAGCAAATCCCGCTAGAGAGCACGAAACGAAAGTTAGAATTATTTGCAATGCGAAAGTTGCGAGCATAATTTGCATCGAGCAAATTCCGCTAGAAAGAACGAAACGAAAGTTAGAATTATTTCCAATATGAAAGTTGCGGGCAGAATTTGCAGCGAGCAAATGCCGCTAGAAAGCACGAAACGAAAGTTGAACTATTTACAATACGAACGTTGCGGGCAGAATTTGCAGCGAGCAAATGCCGCTAGGAAGCACGAGACGAAAGTTAACTATTTACAATACAAAAGTGGCGGGCAGAATTTGCATCCAACAAAGAGTTTAGCCGGTCAATTAACCCGAATTTATTATGTACATTTATTCCGAAGGAATATGAAGCGGAGCACACTATTCGAAGCTATGGCAATGAGCATGCCGATAGGCGAGCGGATAAAGGGAACATAGGCTATCTCTCGCGAGAGGTAGACTCGCGGTAGCTCGCCTTCGATTGCGAGCCTAACCCCGAGTGGGGGACTAGTTGATCCGGCCAGGGCCACCCAGACGGCCCAATAAGGAGCAAAGGCTCATCAAGGTGGCTCTAACCCGTTACCGTTTGCCAGATCCAGTAAAGACCAAAGGCCCAAGCAAGGTCAAAGGGCACCATTAAGCCCACTAAGAGAAGAAGGTCCATTAAACTGGTGTGCTCGTTAGGCGAGAGGGACCAAGCAGCGGGTCGCGAGTAACCCGCGAGAGAGAGAGGCCTCTCGCTGACTCACCCTCCCGCCAAGCTTCTCGTCAGACCAGCCCGGAGATGATTCGAGCTGCACATGGAGGCATTTAATGCACGTCCAATCCACTGACAGATGTAGAGGAATGTCGTTTCGGCCCCCTACTTTTTGCACATGCATCCGCCAATGAAATGACATATTAAACTGCATTGAAGGTAATTTGGGGTCCGAATGCCTAAATTACCGCGATTGGACAGGTAAATCAAATTGAAGAATATTTGACGTCCGTCCCCTTTTTTAGTATAAATATGGGCAGTAAATACAGGAAAACCACAACGAAATCATATACATCAATTACATACAGAAGCATAATATCTTCTTCAGGAAGTTACTGACTTGGCCGTTGGAGTGCTAACTCCGGCCTAAGTCCGGTTCTTTTCTTTCTTGTAGGTTTATCGTGGGCTCCGGTCCAAGTTCAGGCCTACTCAACTTTCTAAACCAGCCTACCACGAATCCAGCCGGATCATATATATATATATATATATATATATATATATATATATATATATTTGTATTGTAGATAATTTTAGGTAATTTTACATTCTAGTTCCATTTTTGTAAAATTAGTTAGTTTTCAACTTGTTTTTTGGTTGGAGCATAATTCCTAAAATAACATATAATTGAGTAGTGTGTGTTTTCAAATTTTTTTGTGTGAATTTTTTTGCAACTTGTACTATTTTTTTTTTTTTTTGTTAGATTGCAATTGAACGGGAGGATCGAGTTGTATCCTACAAATACTATATTATGAATTTTCTTTTAATATTTAATTTAATCAAATAGTAATATTTGAATCGATTAAGCTCAAATCCTTTCAATTAGTAAGCATTATTCAAATATTTGAATCGATTGCTTAAGTACTAATGTGTTACATAACTAATTTAACTATTTATAAGTAATGTCTAATATCTTTTTAATTCAATTTTGTCATAAAAAAATAATAAATTTAATTCCTAACACATGTAAGAACCTAATCGTAAATCGTAATATTTCATCAAAGCGTAATATTTGAACCAATTAAGCTCAAATCCTTTCAATCCGTAAACATTATTCAAATATTTGAATCGATTAAGCTCGCTCAACTATTGACAAGAACGTATTAATCAAATTAACTATATTAATTAAAGTGTAATACATTTTTAATTCAATTTATCATAAAAAAGTAATTCCTTAATTACGTAAGAATCAAATCATAAGATCAATTAAGCGCAAGTCCTTTTAATTTGTAAATATTATTCAAAATTTTGAATCGATTAACTTCAACCACCGACGAGAACGTATTAATCGAGTTAACTATTTATAGTTAAAGTCTACTATCCTTTTAATTCAATTTTAACAAAAAAATAATAATTTAATTCCTAAAATTGTAAGAATCAAATTGTAAATCGTAAGATTGAATCTAACCATGAACCAATTAAATCTTACGATTTTGACGAATTAATTTTTATTATTTTTTGTGATAAAATTCAATAAAAAAATATACTAAACTTTAACTATACATAGTTTGATAAATACACTATTGTAAATTATTGAGTTTAACCGATTCAAATATTTGAATATTGTCTACGATTTGAAATGAGTTGAGCTTAACGATCAAATCTTTGAATATTGTTTTTTAATTGAAAAAACATATGAGTTTAATTGATTCAAATATTACGATTTAATTAAATCTTACAATATACGATTCAATTCAAACTTCAAATTATTTTGAAATTCATTTTTAAATTTCAAGAGTTGATCAGCATTTTCTTAGATTTTTAAATTATATTATATAAAGATTTTTTAGTATGGAATATTTTTAATATATAATAATAATTATATAAGAATTAATAATTTATTTAACATTATTTATATCAGTTTTATAATCATTATACATTGTAGCTTTGTGATATATATCCGTATTATTAGTTTATTGTCAATTATGTGTTGTGTCTCAATGGTAAGTATTTTTGTATGCATTCAGGTAATAAGTTTGAGTTCAGGTTGATGACCCTATTTTACACTGGTGTTGTTGGAGTATGGGGTTTTGGGAGTTATGAAAAAATGAGAATTTTTTTTTAATCAAAAATAATGAGGTATCTTATTAATAAAAGTAAGGTTGCTCTGGTGAAATTCTAGGGTTTTTTTAATAAATTATTTTTTGTGGTTTATTTAGCTTATTAAATTCAATTATACTGGATTTTTGGTTGGGCCTTAATTATCAACGTATTTTCCTCTCACTTCTTAAGATTACGCATCCTTCATTCCCTAATTGATCGGATTTAATTCGATCCCAAATAATACGGCCGTAGATTAACGAATTCTCCAAAATAGGACTGAAAATCATATCTTTTTGAAAAAAAGGCGGTGACTGCTTCTCTAAAAACCCTAGATATCATTTGTTGATTAATATTTTTTTGAAAAGGCATAGGATTAGATGGTTGCTTCCACAAAAAAACTATATATCATTTGTTGAGCTTTATATTGATCTCCATCCAAAAACAAACCATCTCCACAAAAAAACATAAATGTTATGTGTTGTTCTGATAACTTTTGCTTTTTCGTTTGCTGATATTCTTAACAGAGTTAAAAACGTCTACCTATTTTATTTAATTTGTTTGTTTTGTTTTTGTTTAATCTCCATCTACATAATCCGAGTTTTGTTCTTCTGCAGGGACTGCGGTGAATCCTTGGCCATATTTTTTCAGGTTTTACTAGAGTACTTTTACATATTATATATGGTAAGTTTTTATTTTATTAATTCTCAGTTTTTTTCAGTCATGGATTGTTTTTTGAAAAATAGTCGACATTTAAATTTTTGATGTTTTTTCCTTACAAGTTTCACAAACATAAAGCAACGTTATAGCATTATCGTTTTTTTGGGGAAAAAAATCGATAATTTTTTTTAAGAATTACTATCGAGTCTCGCTGCATTTTCTCTCTCGGAAATATGTTCACATCTTTAAATTGTTCATTTTACAATTTACATTTCTTTCTTCACAACAATGGCGCTGACATTTTTTAATGAGGTGGAAATGGGGTAGTAGATAATTCATTAATGTTGTTTGATCTACTTCTTCCATTAGTGAGTTTTCGATGGATCTGTTGGAAAATGTGAGAAATGGATATTTTCTAACAAACGTAGATCAATGTAGTATCTAATGTCGATGGAGAAATAGAAATAGTAGCATATAGTTTATAATTGTTGAAAGAATCGACCGGTCACAAGAAACTTGAAGTCGCTGAATGTGATTTATCAGGTTTTTTGGTCAATTTCTGTTTTGTGGATATAAATAAATATGCATCAATGCATGCCTCAACAAACTGTTCTTTATTGAAATGTTGGAAATATATATTATGTATATTACACGTATCAAGAAACAAAGGTTGTGGTACAAGATGAATGTAGTGGTTTCTATTGGTTTTATTTGTAGTGGAGAATGTAAATTTGAATTTATTGAGTCGTGTTTTACATTATACCAGACCATTTATTGAACTGCATATGTTGAAAGTAAAGAACTTTCCGAGAAAATTAAGCAGCTAATGATGAGTGGAGAAACTTCGACCGGCTTGAGGAAGTGAGATCAATGAAATAAACAAAAGCGCAACGTGCCTCCTTATACATAAACATACACGGCTACAGTTGTGCTGTGACTTTTGGCAGTCAACTTGTGTCATTTAATTGCAGTTTTTCATCAACCAAAAAAAGAATTCAAATCTGTATCCAAACCAGTGAAATAATTCTATTTGATAATGGGCCGCATTGATATCAATATTGCGGTAGAGAGAAGAAAGAAGTTAGAGGAACTGCAACAAGAACCAACAAGAAGAAGATTACAGAGCAAAATCCGGAAAGATAAAAGACTAACAACAAGAACATTACAAAGCAGAATCCAGGATGATGATACGAGAAGTAAATTCAACAATTATCACGTGATAGATATATATAAAAACTATGACTTATATCAAGCAGCCCAAAATGGCAGCTCCGAATATTTCGGCAGAGTCCTGGACCGAGTTTCATCAGCAGAAACCAAACAATTTGGAGAAATCTTGCGTAGAGTGAGCCCTGCTGGAAATACGCTTCTACATATAGCAGCTAAACATGGAAATGAAGATGCAGTAACTTACATTGCTGCAAAGGTTCCATCACTGCTATTAATCAAGAACGACAATGGAGAAACTGCGTTGCATCTTGCTGCAAAAGCTGGATATGAATCAGTGGTGAAAATGTTGGTGTTGCAATTTGAAAATGGAGCAGATGAGAACTATCTATTAAGGGCAAAGAATGAGAGAGGAAACACAGCATTGCATGAAGCATTAATCAACGGTAGCGATTCAATAGCTCAATATTTGATCCAAAAAGATCCTGAGGTATCATATTACGACAACAACGAAGGAGAATGTGCGCTGTACTTAGCAGCCAAATCTGGTTTTGTAAACTGCGTCTTTTTGATTCTTCAATTGTGTCGAGATCAAGACCGCATTAATGAGCTGTTTAAGAAAAGATCACCCATTCAAGCAGCAATAGAGGGAAAAATAGAGGTATTTTTTTTTTCTTTTTTTTTTTTTATTTGAAGATTTTATAACAAGAACTAGAAGACATATATAGCTTACTGTTGTAATGAATAAACTGTTGACGATTTGTTTTCTTCTTTTTATCTCTGATTATCGAGTACCAGATGTTTTGGAAGCCATGTTAAGCAAGAACCCAAGTTTGATCCAATCACGAGATGGTACAGGGAGAACTCCGCTTCACTGTGCAGCGTCACTAGGCTATCTTGAAGAGGTCGGTTACTTGCTACAAGAATATCTTCCTAGTGCCTTTCAAAGAGATGGAAGTGGTTCATTCCCCATTCATTTGGCGTCAATTAAAGGCAACGTCCAAGTCATCAGCTTATTGCTTGAAGACTGTCCGGATCCAGAGGAGATGCTCGATGGAGATGGTTGCAATATTCTACACATTGCTGCAAGGAACGGAAGATGTAATGTAGTCAGCTACGTTCTGAAAAGTCCGTATCTAAAGAACCTTATAAACATGAAAGATAAACACGGAAACACACCCCTGCATTTGGCAACAATGAATTGGCACCCCAAAATTGTCAGTGCATTAACATGGGACAATAGAGTCGACGTTACATTGGTCAATGACAAGGGTATGACAGCTCTAGATGCTGCTGACCATTACATGCCCGATAATCCCCAGTTTCCCCAGGTAAAACAATTTACACTATAATCAACATTATATTCCTGTGTCACTACTTTTCACAAACATGTAACAACAATTCACTATATTCTACAGTTGACACATCCCATTAACTAGTATCCACCTTATCAGAAGAAATGTATAATTTAGAGCAAAAAACCTAGATTGGTTGGATCATGTTCCTTCATACTGAGTTGCTTTATACACATTTCACAGAAAGCATGATATAGAATAATCAAAAGAAAAATATTGGAAAGCAAGTCGGTGATGTGGAGAGGCAATGATATTTCTAAAGCTATCGAAGTGGGTGAATTTAGCAAGTACTGGAACTCGGAGATGTTCATATATGTTAGAGATTTAGAGTAGATGATGTTGATCCATATACCAAAGGTAGTAGAGATACTAGATTTCACATCATCTGCTCTAAAAACAATTGTGTCTATAGGTAGGTAGACATTTGGCAGAAGTATACCCCGTATTAAATTGAAAGAAGTTCAGTCGTGCAAAATAAGTAGTGGCGTCTTGACAGGTTAAGAGCATAGAATGCTAACACCCTCATTAAGAAATCATTTCACACAAATGCTACAACAAACCTGCAACCTGAAATATTTATTTATTCCCTCATGTAGCGTCTGACCTGGGCTGCCCTCAAAACTGCTGGAACCCCTCGATCTCTGTCTCGGGAAACTGTAGGTAGACAGGCTCCGAAGAAGAGCTCCGACATGGATAACTATAAGGAAAGAGTCAACACTCTTTTGCTTGTAGCTACTCTGGTTGCCACAATAACCTTTGCAGCCGGTTTCACTTTACCTGGTGGATATAATACAGATACAGGGATGGCAACTATGCTTGGAGACGCTATAGCCATGTACAGCTCCATTGTAGTGGCTGTCACTCTCATTTGGGCTCAATTAGGTGACATCAAATTAGCATTTAATGCACTCACTTTGGCAGTGCCTTTGCTTGGGATTGCTCTTTGTATGATGTCAATTGCTTTCACCGCTGGTGTTTTCTTAGTAGTCAGCAAACTTCGATTGCTAAGTACTGCCGTACTTGTCATGGGCATCACTTTCCTCGCTATTATGTCCATCATCCTAATTCCATTGTGCAGTTCACATACTTCAAGTAATCGGATAGTACGCTATCTGTCCTACTATCCCTTCTACCTGTTGATATTAGCAAGCAGCAGCTAAGCCAAAGGACTAATTTGAACAAGAGACGAGTACCATCTGCAATGATTTTTTCGTACCTCTGATATTTCACTTAAATGTTTGAGCTAGCATGTGTTAAAACTCACTGAAGGCCATTTGAAAAAGCTTTTCAAAATTTGTGCCATAGTTCTTTTACTTGGATTATGGCCTCAATTCATTTTGCATGAAATTGAGATGTTTGCTTGTATTGCTAATCCATGAATTACATTTTTTTTCTTAATCGAGTATCGTAAATTATTATCCAACCATAATTTAGATTCATACGATACACTTTTCTTTATGCTTGCTAAGATTAGTCGGTATAGGATTATTCAATCTTATGAGAAATCAATTGTGCAATTAGACTAGAGGAGGTCAATACTAAGATAAGAGCTCATTTTCTCCAGAATTACGGGTGGGCCCAAAAGGTTTTTGGACTAACCAAATATCAAACAAGATCCAATATTTAGTTAACTGTGGTTAATCTTACCAACCAAGCGAGGCTTGGAGAATAATTAGTGTAGCTATATCATATAATTGAGATTCAGTAAGTCCAATACAAACTTTATAAACTGATTAATTTAGTCCAAGTATCATATAATTATGTATATTTAAAGCAACAACATCATGAACTACTTTAACCAGTACAGATAGACCAATGTGATAACATCATGGATGATGGAATAAAGAAGAGTGGGAAAACAAGTAAACAAGTCTAAATAGTCAGATAACATCACTGAAAGTGTTATTTCAAGTCAATTAATATGAAATTATTGGAGAGTTTCCTTCCAACGCGTGCTTTGACTACTCATACACAGCCAAAAACAATGCCAATTATTGTGTCAAAATATTGAAAACTTGACTGCTGTCATTACACATCAAACAGTGTCAATAAACGCGTAATTATGTTTCATTATGATACCATTTTCATTACGAAGGTGTTTGGCTAAATTTATCTTTTCATGAAAAATCTAATTCACGTAAGGGACCTAACAAATTTCAATACTAGAAGAAAATTTCAATAGGGCTATGGCCTATGCATCAGAGTGGTGTTCATCTCCTAGCTGGACTTGTCCCCGACTTCTAAACCAGTTTGTTTTGGGAGAATTACATGTTTCGCCCCTCATATTTGAACCAGGCTAAAATTGAAATTTAAATTGTTTTTTTTTTTCTTTTTTAATTTATTTTATATACGTATATATCATTTTGTTTGTTAAGACTAAAATATTATTCAAAAAAATTCTAATGTATTTGTATTTCATATACTTTTTTGCATTTAATTTTTGAAAATTAAATATTATTCAATTTCTTTTTATAAATATTATTAAAAAAATTATATAAATAATACTTTGAATTTTTAATTCTTGGACAAAATGTACTTCGCCCCCTTAAAAAAATTAGTTTTTGCACTTCGCCTGCAATTACAAAAAAGAGACACCACCCCTTCAGAATACAAAACGGTGAGCACATTGCACCATAATGAACTTTTGTCCGGAATTTTGCTGGAATTTGGGTTTTATAAAGGGTATTTTCGTCATTTAAAGTAGAATTCTTATTTTGTTTTTTTTTCTTTTTGTTTGAAATGTATTATTTATTTGTTTCACCTAAATTAAAGTTGTGCTTAGAAAACTATTTACTAAACGCAAGAAGTAGGGTTTTTCTTCTCTCTCCCCAAAATCAACACACGCCCTGCTAAATCTTCACTGACATAATCTGAAAATTGTGCGTGCAAAATGAGTTGGAAATTGCGACAAGGACAACAGAGAACAATCAATGGTATTTATACCGACTTTGATTTTTATTCTTAAGATCTTCTTTGACAATGGCATTAAATCAACGTTTAAGTTAATGTAATTTATATTGTTTGTTTTAGAACACGTGAAGTTATATAATCAGTGTCCCTTTAAAAATAGAGTTAATGAGATATAACCCCCTCATTAGGAAAAATATTATGACTAACTACCTCACATTATTTTTAATGGGTCAAACCCCCTCACAATTAGAAATTACTAAATTACCCTCACAATTTCTAATAGCAATGCCCCCCGTTGTTTTCCCCAAAAACTGCATATCTTCAACCATTTCGTCAATATATTTCTCCCCAATTTCCGCTAGTCTGCTATTTTTGTGCCAAGAAAATCGCAAATAAAATCTACAAATATATCGGATCATTTCCCAGTCGCAACAATGTCCTATTTTGCTACATTTCTTAAAAAAAAAAAACCAAATTACTTTGTGTGGGAATCGGTGAGAAATACAGGTCGTCAAAAATGGTGAAAGGTAGCTAGAAGAAGATAGGTAGTTTCTTATACACCCATCGCTCCACTCGACGTCTATTAACCTAACTTATGTACATTTACCACATAATTTTTGTACTTGAGACCCTTCTCAACGACTCCGAAAGACAAATCGATGTCTCCTACAGAAACGATACGCAACGGTATGCGACTACCATATGCGACGGTTCGGTCTTCCATGGTCGATTACTCAAAAATGGAGTTTGTAAACAAGCTAGTTTTTTAGATATACGGATCTATGGTCGCACCATTTGTTAACTCATAAATATTTGTTTCCTATGAAATTTGTTTTATCATAGTCCACAACAAAGAAAAAATTATTGTTGTCGAAAAATGTAAAATATTGTAGTCATCTACACTGAGAATCAACTATAAAATCGGATAGTTCATTATATTGTTCCCAAAGTCAAAAATAAAAATTACATAGTCAACTATAATTTTTACGATGTCAACTATAAAAAAAATGGTAGTTAACTATATTGTTGCCAGAGTCAACTACAAAAATTAGATAGTCAACTATAATTGTTCCGATGTCAACTATAAAAACGTTGGTAGTCAACTATAATTTTTCCATTAATTCACTATATTATTTTTCAATTTAAGATATTATAGTGTTATAAAATTGAATACTCATGATAAAAATCTGATCTCTGGTGAAAACATGAATTTCATAGAGTAGAAAAAAAGATTGATTTCAACGACCAAACAATAAGATGTAGAAGAAAAGGTAAAGTAGTGAAGAAATAGAGAAAAATAAAGAGAAAAAATGAAACAAAAACAGACGAGAAGAGAGGAAATTAGGGAAGAGAAAGAAGAGAGAGAAAAGAGAGAGAAAGGAGAGAGGAAAGATTGAGAAAAAAAATAAAAGAAAAATGTACGAGAAGGGAGGAAATTGGGGAAGAGATAGAAGAGAGATAAGCGAGCGAGAGAGGGAAGAGAGGAGAGAGAAGAAGAAGAAGAAGAAGAAGAAAAGAACAAGACGTCACGTCAAAAATGAGGAAAGAAAGGAAGAGATGGAAATGAATGGAGAATATAAAATGAGGAATAAGAAATAAATAAGGAGAAGAGAGAGAAAATATGAGAAAAATATGGACAAAAAGGATATAATGGGCATTAACATAAGCTTTGGGGGTCACACAATTCAGAAAATATTAAACGGGTTTGTTTACAAACGGGTCAATTATAAATTGGGCTCACACTATATTATTTTACCTAATGAGGGAGTTATCCCTCATTTTCCCTTAAAAATATGAATAATGGTCTCACACCATTAAAAAGTTTGTCTTGCATATTATGTATCTTTACAAATTTGAGATTGTGAATGTTTACCTGTATTTTTTTCTTTTATTTTCAAATAATAATAAATTCACCGTGGCCCAATACACTTTAACTTTTTACTACATTAATCAGATACAAGATTATGCAATTTTACGAGAACCGAATTATGTAATTAGACTAGAAGAGGCCAAACATCCAAACAATGATGTGCGCGACAAAGTATTGAGCCAACCAAACATCCAACAATGTCCAATTATTTATTTTACTTCGATTTTATCTTAACAACCAAACACAAACTTTATCACGTGATTCATTATAAACTGCCATTCAGTTAAGTCCAACACAAACTTTATGAAGTGATTAATTTAGTCCAAGTATCATATAATTATGTATATTTAAAGCAACAAAATCATTAACCACTTTGACCAGTACAAATAGACAAATGTGATAACATCATGGATGATGGAATAAACAAGTGTGGGAAAACAAGTCTAAATAACACCATTGCAAGTGTGCTATTTCAAGTCTGATACGGGCCATTATGGAAAGATTAAATAACCTTAAGCCCACAATGGTAGGCCCATGGTAACTTAGCCCAGTAAGGCGGAAGAGGTCGTTAGGTCGTACGACCTCAGCGACGAAATGGGGCACTTTAGCCCGCAGGCCCAGTACCAGCTCGGGGTAAAACGAGCCCAGGATAATTGGAGGCCCAAAACGTGTGACTTGAGAGTAGAATGAAACCCTAAAAAGGAAACCTTGGAGGCCAAGGTTTCCTCATCTATAAATAGAAGGATCTTCAAACACACAAAAAAGGTTAATCACTACTTTTACACCATATACTCTTTTTTTCCTATTTCCGATCACTGACTTGATCGTCGGAGCTTTCCCGCCGGGAACCCCCCCCCCGGCGTTGCAGGTATTCTCACCGGAGTTCAGACCAAGCTGCCTTGAAGAAGACGTAAGCCTTACGAACCAAATCAAGTGGCGCCGTCTGTGGGAAAGATCTAGAAATCTTGGAAACAACTTCCGGGAGAACATCAGATCTACCCCCGGAAGTCCAGATCTGAGCTATCAACGTAGAGAACAATGGAAGAAGGAGATATCACTGCCCGGAATTTGCAGAAGGATTTGGATGCAGTGGCTCGCGGTACACCGACTGATCCATCGCCTGTTCAGAAGGATAAGTCGGGGTGTAGCTTCCTTACACCCGAAAAGGAGGGTCGGATCCCTTTCATCTCAAGCAGCCCCTCTTTTGAGTTCCAGGGTGGCGAAGCTGCTCCAAAAAGGCCAGCCACAACCCCAGCTCAGACCCCCAATGAGCGTACATATACCCGGGACGAGGTGGAAACCATGATCACCGCAGCCATCCGAAACTACACGCAAAATCTACCTCAAGACAACCGACTCAGAAGAGATCCCAGACGCTCT